TATTATGAGGATTGTGATGCTGAAACGCGTTTTTTCCATATACCACTTTCACGACAATAACACTAACTAATAATGCTTCCATTACTTCTTATTTTACTATTTCCACTGCTACTGCTACCACTACTTATTTTCATACTACTACTCCATATTCTATCGCCTCTACTAGCACTACTGATGATGATGACTGTGAAACTGATACTTTTTTCCTTCTACTGTTTCACAACAATAGGAATAACAACAACTACTACTACATGCGCTAGTTCTTATTTTGCTACTGCTAATACTATCAATATTACCTATTTTCCTCCATCTCAACACGTTGTTTTCTGCTCAACTTCACCTGCTTACAGACTCCAGATCGGACAGGCGTCGAACTCTTTCTTTGACCGAAACTAATTGCAAAATCGAAACAGTTTTTTGGCAGGTTTCCGAGCAAATCCACTGTTGATAGTTGCCCTCTTTACTGACGGGCCATTTGTGCCTGATTTTGCATAACCCCAAGGCTCCGGTTGTGCTGCTGCATCCTCAGCCGCTTCCGCTACCAGTTCCAGCCTCAGCCCAACAGGAGGCCTTAGCGAATTTCGACGGAAAGGACTCGAACGAACTGCGTCTTCAGAATGTTTTGCTGCCGGAGGGTGCCATCTTTCAACTTCCCTCTTGTAGCTCAGAGGTCACCTACGGACATTCCACGGCCTATTTTAGAGCTACGTGACTCTTGTTTAGTCGTTGTGAAACAAAACATCTTTCGGCAGTACCATTTGACACCCGATCCACCCGATCCGAGCGCCCAGATCTGCGAAAAGAACCGAATTGACGAAGAGACCCATCGCCAGTCTCACCTTTGCAGCCTCAAATTGGTCAAGCCGCCAAATAAGCGGGCCTTCTTTGTCTCCGACAAGAACACAAGCACAGGGAGCCATCAAATATGGGCGACAACCAAGAACCAGTTCTCCGAGTTCGGTCAAGTCCATGCAGATATTTTGCATAAACTTCGATTTCAAGTCATTCTATTTCGTGCGTAACGAAGAAATGATCGCCTAGCCTTACCTCACTACAGTTATTCTCATTCCAGCTGGAATGGAGTGCAGTTTCGACACTTCCAAAACTGGTCTCATCCTCCTCCTTGGCGGGACTCGAACCCAGATTGCGGAAATTCAGCGTATACCTACGACAGGTTACCGCAACGCAATAGCTCCCTGAGTGCCCCTGGGTCACATGACAGACATGAACTACAAGGAAACTCATTCCTCTTTTATATCACTTTTTTGCTATTCTGCAATTAGAATCTACTCCGCTAATTGTATTCATAGAAAGTAGTTTCCAAACATTTTCTGCTACTCTCGAAGCATACTTTCTGTGAATATGAGTAACGTAGTCGATAGTAACCACAAAATGTAAGTTTTCCAAATTAGTATCAACGAGAAGCAGACGATCTCGAGGCTGCATTCCATTCCTGCAGTGATGAGAGTACCTTTAATAAGCGACTAAAATTGAAATTCAATGTACATTTGAGGCCTATTTATCCCATTCTGATGAAATTCAACCATTGGCACCTCATTATTTCATGTCACACAAGCTGACTGGAACTCATGTTCTTGTTAAAAGGACATTTGAGGTACGCGACTGCATGCTTCAGTCGGCCGGACGATGCATGTGGCCGGCATGAGTCAGCCTCGCTCCATCACATCACTCTCCACATGAGCCTAGTCGGTCATTTGCCGGTTAATCTGTCCACGAGTCGAGTCCCCCTTTTGTCTCGGCATCGACTCTAATCCTGAACGGACATTTGCTGATTTTGACGAAAACAATTTCTCACTTGCATTCGGGCACTACTTTTGAGCACTCAAACATTGCTCATCAGCAGATTAATCTTCTTTCAACATATCCTTAATTTGTATGCTTGCGATTGTCCACCTTTTTGTCGCGTCTTCACTACAACCGGTAGATTTGCCCACTCGCGAGGGAAAAAGCAATCCAGAATTGTGGCTCAAACTAAGATGACTCTAATCTTTACAGCATTTGGAGGCTTTCATTTCACAATTCCCACATGTTGTCTCGGCATCGACTCTAATCCTGAACGGACAAAAACAATTTCTCACTTGCATTTGGAGACTACCTTTTGAGCACTCACTCATTGGTCATTGGAAAAGTTTGCCCAAACGGCTTTCTGGCCTTAAAGTTGCCCACGAGGCGATTGAGCTCGAGCCGTTTGGTATGGATATTGGCCGGAAAGCAGAATATGCAAATTAAGCAGCTTGCTCGAGGGTAGTTCTAGCAGTTAGACCATCAGCAGATTAGTCTTCTTTCAACATATCCTTAATTTTTATGCTTGCAATTGTCCACCTTTTTGTCACCTCTTCACTACAACCGGTAGATTTGCCCACTCCCGAGGGAAAAAGCAATCCAGAATTGTTGCTTAAACTAAGATGACTCTAATCTTTACAGCATTTGGAGACTTTCCTTTTACAATTCCCACATGTTGTAATGCCTAAAGAGTTAAACTGAGGGAGTTAAGTTACACCATTTTTCCGATTCTCTGTCGACAAATGAAGCTCAACTTTACTCGGCCTAACTGGCTGTAGTTTAACCACAGCGTTTTCGTCACTTCAATTTAATTATACCTCGTCACCATGACTGCTGGGACTCGAGCTCTGATACAAACTGATGACAATTGGAGCACAAATATCCTCATCCAATCCTTCCTTGATCTCCTGTCCGTGGTTCACACATTCTACATGATTGATGTGACAGTCAGTTGCATCCCATTGGGTCTTATAAGCACGGCTGGTGGGACTCAAGCTCATACACTAGCCGGGAACAACTTTACTACTAATCTTTTCAGTCAGTCCCTTACTAAACACCTG